TTGTTTGTTTTAGGGAATTAGATATGATGATCTCCTCGGTCGACACATGAATTGATCGAGTTAATTCGTTGATGCCGGTATAAATTCCTTCGAATGTGAGCCGGCTTCGTGCGTTCCATATCCTCCAGCAAGCCACCGCAAAGATGGAAGCTGTTCATCTTTACTACTACCATACAATTAAAGAAGACGATTGAAATGTGATGCAAAATGTACGAAAATTTATATTGAGGCTAGCAAACAAGCCGATGAATCCTGAGTTGCATTTCTTGGGAGTAGACTGTTGAAATTGGGTATCCTTGTTGGCCCAATATTAAGATCGTTTCAACAGTTCAAAGTTCAAACGAGCAGAAATGTGCATTTTGTTTTGGGCCATAGTTTCTCCATGTTTATACTCATCTGGGGAAATCAGGGCTGTTTCTTAAATTGGGCACAGGCTGTGGATTGGGCCAAATTGTAACATCAGTGACTGCTGTTAGCAGAGAACATGGTAGGAAACCACAAGAAGAACAAATGCACGTGGACCCATGTGTTTTCTAACATGCGCTGTAGTGGAAGGTCATCCAAAGTTTTCAAGCTTCATTAAGAAGCATTTATAAAGCAGTAGCCTCGTTGAAGTAGTATGAAATCCAGCTTTAATTAGCTCCATATTTGTTTCGTTTTTTTAGTGTGTATTTTTAAGTGTTTTTTCTATTGAAAATGTAAAAAAGTGTGTTACAAATGTAAAAAAATATGCTGAGATGGGACAGTTATTATTAAAATAATCTAAAAAAACATCAAAAAAAGCAAACAAACAGAGCCAATTTGTGCGTTATCTTCTTCTTTCTTTTTTTGTTTGGTTAATAAGAAAAACATGTGGAAGACAGAAATCACAAAACAAGAGTCCTTGTTCTAGTCTAAGTTGTAAAGCTGATTTGGCAAGGGAATCAGCACAAAAGTCATTCCCTCGGAAAGTATGTTCTACTTTAAATTCCCGTTCCGAAATTAGAATCCTATGGATCTCATCTAGGCATGCATCCACCTGAGCTTCTGTGATTCTATCAACAGCTTTGTTGAGTCACACTCGAAAATTACTCTTGAGTAATTTGTGGGTTTTCAAAAGGACCATTTTCATTCATCTACTTCGAATTTTACCTTACCAATATATCTCATCCATTTAACCTTTTGCTTGTGAGTTTGGGTAAATTGCAAATCTCTTTAGATTTGATTGCATAAAGTTTTTTTTTTTTTTTTCTTGACACCTATATGTTACATTTCGTCTAAACTAGTTAAATAATTGGCGGTAGTCAAATCACTCATTGATTATACTTTGAATTACTATTTAGTCAGGTTAAGGAAAAAATTTAATAAAGTAGTATCACGTAATAAGTTAGATCATATACATATATCGCCCAGTATCTTTGCAAGAAAACAAGTACTACCTCTGTCCCAAAATTATTATCTACTTTGAGATTTCACTTTTAGTACAATATGAACTAAAAATGAAAATCCAAACTGGACAATAATTATGAAATAGAGATAGTAGTATTTTAGAATCATTTTTCCAAAATCCGTACTTGCAGACGAGGTTATTTCCCGTTTGAGATTAATACTCATTCCAATCATATTTATAAACACGACTTTGGTGCATACGAATTGTCCCTACCACTAAGTTAGCTTGATTAATCTCAATGAACGAAAGTAAAATCCTTATTTCGAAAAAAAAAAGAAGAAAAAAATAAGGTAAAATCGGATGGTGGCATTTGGGGCCTTGTGTATATCGTTGGGAGGTTAAGTGGAAAGGGTTTGAATTGAATAATCTGTTAAAAAAAAAGAAAAAAAAAAAGGAGTTTTCCACAAACGCCGTTGGAGTACTTTTCCCCCCTCGATCCCCAGTGGCCATTAATTACTAATAATATATGAATATAAAATAATGATGTAGTACTAATTTTGGCTCGTAAAATTTTCCTCCTACGGTAATGGTCTCCTCTTTTTGAAACAGTCTTTTGAAAACTTTTTTAAAAGTAGATTTTGTCAAAACATTCTGCTGCTTCTTCCAGTTTTTGTTCATCTGCACTTCATTTCTGCTATTATAATTAAAATTATCAACTCTCCATTTTCTTCTTCTTCCCCAAATATCGAAATGACATCACGCACAGCTTTTTAAAATTCTCGCATTTGATTTGTACGTGAAGATGAAATATTTTTACTATTTATAGTTCTGTTCATAATTCTTACTACACCTTAATCTTAATCTTAATTATAAAGACATAGATTTAAATTAATTTTAGTGCTAATTTGTATTCATAATTAGAACTCGAGAAAGCATTTTTTTAGATCACGTTATCGGTAAAGTTGATGCAATATATGGACCCTATTACAGTGTCTCTGAACTGTGACCATTTTTTAAAATAGCTAATCATTGCAAAGCTCGATGACTGGTCTGAAATGTGTAATAACTGGGGAAATGTAAAAGGTTTAATTGGCTCCAATTAAGACACACTTTACTTCTTTATGTCTTTCTCAAACTATATCTAATTTGTCTGTCTGTTAATTTAAAAAAAAAAAAAACCTTCAACCTTTAATAATATAATAAAGTTGGGATCGTGAGACATTGTGGGAGCATGACTGTCCTTCACGTCTCCAACCTCCTTTTCACTGATTAAAATTGCATTTTATTTTCTGTTTGTTCATCCAATTGCAGGCCTATGGTTTCGCAGATTTGCTCTAATTTCTCTTCTTCTTCTTTTTTTTTCCCAGTATCGCAAACGAGGTGTTCAAAACTATTTTCTCCTGTCCTTATCATAAGTCATTTTGATTTCGTCATAACTTTAACTTATGATGTCTTTTTAATTGTAAAAATATATTTTTATATTCGTTGGGTTCTCCTAATTATCATGAAATGTTTTTAAGATTTTTATTTTAATTAAAAAGATATTTTAGATTAAATTTAGGACGAAATAAAAATAGATCAAAATGCCTTATAATAAGAACCGGAAAGAGTACTATCTAAATGATTCATAATTTGTGTCAGGATTTGAATCGTCCACTATTTTCATTATTTGGACGAAGTATTTGTAACTAAAAGATCAAACTTGAACAAAATAAAGACAAAATTATGATAAAATGTAACAGGTAGGTAAGTAAATCTAAAACTCACAAAATATACATTCCCCAACTATGTATTTTTAACAATAAAGTTGTATTGAATATGAAAACCTCATCCGCCCGGCACCCATGATGGGGACCATGGTCAACGCATACATTAGTTTTGCTTGTACTATCACATGAAATGGAGATGATAAGTACTTATTTATTAATGGTGGTAAATCAATAAATATCATGATAATATTAATTACTTAGTCAACGATGAGTTCAGACAATTGGTACTCACGAATTATCAGGAGTGAAGAAATTCATCCTACGGTATAATATGGTATGATCATTCTAATAAGTAACATTTTTTTCATTCTTATTTATAAAACACAATTATAATCTGTCTCAATTTTAAATTTACACCTTATAAGTAAGACTTTGATGAACAGTAATCAAATTAGTCAATATAATAAAGTCACCATTGATTGGACATCATGCTAGCTATATAAACATTTATCCAAGTCATTTTCAGGCAGGGTTGCAAGTAATGATGATGACTATATCCTTTTTCTTGTATCCACTGAGATTAGGCAATAGGTTAGAATTAGGTTTAAGGTTGATTACTGATTTACCCACAAAATTTCCCAACTTAATTTTTATGTTAAACTATCAAATGATCAAACCACATGAGTTATACTAATGACCAAAAATTGATGGTTGGCGTTAAGACAATCTAACCTAACCTCAAGACACGTGAACAGTTCTCCAAAAAATGCACTCAGATAAAACGTGATGTTCAGTCAATGGTCCTAAAATTGAGATAACCTTTCAGGGAGTTCGGCCTTCACCTACACACCTAATTTTAATTTCTTCTTTCTTCCAATCGGATTATTTATTTTCAACATTAAAATCAGACTATCACCAGTGAAAAAAAAATATATATATTCGTTCATTTGTCGTTTGGCCCTTTGGACTTTGGAAAAACATTGTCGTTTTCTTGTCTGTGCATCATCTTGCTTGTAGGCTTGTAGCTATTCCGTATTCATTTGGACTATTTGTGGAGTAATTGACTACATTTTCCGTCTCAATCTTGTTGTTGTTTTGAAGATCAAAACCCAGAAAAAGCCTAATCCAGGAGAAGGTTATTAGATTTGACTTTGTTTATTTTTTCAATTTTCACAAGATCAGTAAAGTCGTGCCAAATGTATTAATTGGGTACCACAATGCAGAATCTATTACAAAAGCATATAACCATCGATTACAACGATGAAGACGTATTTTTCTATATACATATAATATGGAATCAAGTGTTTATCTCCTAACCCAAATACAACATTGTCGATATTATACACTCCTACAGTCTTTCAACTCAATTGTGTTAAATTTTTACGTCATTCTTCATGACAAGCAAAAAGAAAAGAAAATTATAGGTTTCTTAAATATGACACTCATACATAAGAAAATGAATGCTGATATATGTAGAGAAAATTTATAAGAAATTTTAACAGAGAATGATGTGGTCGAATATTAAACTATCGTCTAATTCTTAAATTGATAAAACCCAAAAAGGTACGGTGAAACTATGAACAATTAGTATCAATTTTCTGTTACAATTTTCTCTAAATTTTTTTTGATGATTTATTCCTTTTTCTACTAATTTCATTCAGGTATAAGACTAAGAGTATTTTGTAATATATGTCTTAAACACAATTTTGTCTTGCTTTAGCCATAATAATGAAATGATGATGATACGTCACAAAGATAATTACTCAACTCTATTTCAACTATCTCAATTTGTTCATAAAAGAAAGCTACGACACATCACGCGCGTTTTTTTCTCAAGTGTTAAATAGTGGGACCCACAAACAGAGAAGAATTTTTATAAGTTTTTAACAAAATCACCCAAAAAAAAAAAAGAAAAAGAAAAAGAAAAAACAAAACCTTAAAAAAAAAAAGAGAGAGAAAAAAAGAGTTACCAAAAGAGGGAGAAAATAACAAAGTCCATGGATTCATCCTCCTCATCTCATGCCATTTCATTCCACCTTCATTCCTATTCTCACTACGTGACTGCGTGCGTTTAGCTGAATTTTCCCCCCTAAAAGAAGAAGAAGCTATTCTTCGCCAACCCAAAACTCCCAAATCCAGCCACAAACACAGATCTCATTCTCTAGTTTTTACTAGTATTTTTACTACCAAATTAAGATACTCCCCAGCATCTTTCTTCTTTTGGTTTTCCATTCGATCTCTTGTACTACTACTAATCTAGTTGGCAGTTGGGATTCCTCCTTTTTCAACTGAGCAAGAAGAACCAGATTCCTTGCTCTACACCTCAACTTCTGCATTCCCATAATTCCATTTCTTCTTTTTTTGGTGTGTGTTGCAAATTTTGGTGGGGTAGTTTTATACTCTGGAACAGTTGCTAAATACGTACTAATTATAACTGCTTCAACGCTGGTCGTGGATAATCTGCGCTCGAAAAAAGGTGAGTAATTATGTTAACTGCGCGTTACACTCCGTTATTTTTCCCATGAATGGCAGTGTATTAATCATAAGATTTCCTTCTTCTTCTTCCTGTTCTGTTTCCTCGGCACGAACTTTTTTGATCTGGGCTCATCGTTTACTCAACTGGGTCTACTTGATTTTCTTACTGTTAATTGTCCCATTGTTGAACATTATTGTTGGTGTTGAGAAAATTCTGTAAAATGAAAATGTGACAAGGTTAGTGGCCCAGGTTCAATTCGGCTCTTCCTTTGTTTCTGGGTTCTGGGTTTGAATTATAGATGTAGTTCAGTGATCTGGACTAAATTTCTTGATTTCATCCAAAATAAGTAACTAAGGTAAAAAGTTGAACCAAAATTGTGGTATTACTATTGCTATAGTTTTGTTTTGGTGGCGTTTCTTCTTGGATTTTGTCATTTTTGTAGCTTGATTTGGACTTTTCGTGTCTCCATCGTTAAACGCCGGAGTTCTCTGGTTTCCTCTTTCTTGTCAGCATAGCAATTTTGATATCTGTTCGCTCTCCTTGACTTGGAAATTATAAAATAGTTTTGTCCGCAAATGAGCCTAGGAAAAACCTACGCAATTGCCAATTGGATTAAGATTCGTTCGGTTTATCTTCTTTCCGGATTGAATACTTGAAAAACCAATTATGGTGGCTGGCATGACGCTACATTTAGGAATTTTTAGCGGGGAGGTAAAGACTTGTTTGAAATCTGCCTTTTCGTCTTTCGATTCTTGCGAAAAGTTGTTAATACTGATGCGTGCTGATACTGTGAATTGGAGTTGTAGCAATAGTTGATTTTTGTATTCATTGAATTGGTGGCCTTGATCCATGCTTCGGTGCTTCTAAGTAAAACCTTTTTGGTTTTATTGCTTGAAGTAATTTGTAATTAAAAAAAGTAAGTTTTACTTCAGAGGCAAAGCTGAGTTCATTTATTGGGTATTGACTCTGCAGTGGAGGAAACTTCTCCAAGCTGTCTCTGTGTGAAATGGTGCTTTCCGTGGAAGTTTTATTTCCTGTGAATAACTGAATGTTCAAGTTGCTGCTTTCTTCTTGTACTCTCCTCCTTTAGATAACCTGCATCCTCCCAAGTTATCAATATTACTTTGAAAGTGTTGTGATTCTTGGACTTGAACTAATGTATTCTTTTATAACAGGTTGGGCAATGGACATGTGTTTAGATTGCTTATTGTAGAAGAAGGAAAGCAATGAAGTCCGATCCAGCTGGGCTAATAATTGGCATTTCTATAGGGGTGGTCATTGGAGTGCTTTTGGCTGTCCTCGGATTTTTCTGTTTTAGGTACCAACGGAGACGTTCACAGATTGGGAATAGCAGTTCTAGAAGGGCTGCAACCGTTCCAATACATCAAAATGGTGTTGATTCTTGTGCTCCAGTGTCAGATTCTTCTATTGGTTCAGAGTCTCCTAAGTCCGTCGTGCAACATAGCATTTCATTTTGGCTTGGCGGACTTAAGAAGGCTTCTGTGATCTCTGCATCAGGGATATTGGAGTACTCTTACAAGTACGTAAGTTTGTTTGATGTTTTCGGTCTTTATTCATTTGGGAATCTACCCCAGTGAGTGCTAGTTTATACTGAAATGGTTTACCATTTAAATTGTGCAACTATTTCTCTTTTATGAAAACGGTCACTCTTCTAAAGTGTCTACCTGAAACTTCTTAGCAAGCGCATCTATTTGACTGAGTTCATAAAAGTGAGTTATTGTATTCGTTGGTGTTGCCACTTGTTAAATCTAGATTCTCTTTTGCTAACAGGGATCTGCAGAAAGCAACCTTTAATTTTACTACATTAATCGGTCAAGGAGCCTTTGGTCCTGTCTATAAAGCCCAAATGATGACCGGGGAGACTGTTGCTGTTAAAGTGCTTGCATCTAATTCTAGGCAAGGGGAGAGGGAGTTCCAGACGGAGGTATTGTTGTTAGGGCCTAGTCTTTCCACTTAAGTATTGTTTGGAAAATTTTCCCAGGACCGCTAAACCTTCCTAAATAAAATTTTCTGTTTGTCCTGATCATTTTGCTGTGTGATGTCTAAGGAATTGACTCTGCCATTTATGGCTGAAAGATTAGTCTGGACTTTAGGATATTTTGATGTATCTTCAATGACCTGTGCTATTAGTTAGACATATAAAATACCAAAATGTACCAGTCTTACATCTACATTTGAGAAACTCCCAGATTGATATGTAACCTTTGACTTATTTTTCATGAATATTACTATATTTCACCAACTCTGCATCTTTTTCATTTTTAGGTTATGTTACTTGGGAGGTTGCATCACAGGAACCTTGTAAATTTGGTGGGCTACTGTGCTGAAAAGGGCCAGCACATACTTATATATGTATACATGAGCAGAGGCTCTTTGGCTTCTCATTTGTACGGTGAGTTATGGATGACACATGCTCAAAAATTTTCTTTTGCACAGTACCTTCTGTTTTACTGTGGTTGTTATATCTATTTGAATATTATTGCGTTTTATCTAGTAAAGTAAAATTTCCGTATAAAATAGTGCATCTTCAATGAAGACATCTGCTATCTTGTAACTTGTGCAACCAATATAGACATCTTTTTTGTTCTAGCACCACAATCGCAATTCGAAGCTATTTATTGAGCCTTCCCGTGCCTTGTGTTAATATCTCAGACGTAAAGATTGAGTTTGTGCAGCTACTGAACGATAAAAGACTATTGAAATATATCTAGTTGGACAGACTAAAAATTTGGTTATGAGAACATTACCAAGGGCCGTGTTGCTTCTTTTCTGTTCTTGATGTGACCTTGCGGACTAATGTCACGGGAATTTGAGAATGTTGAACGAGAAGAAATCTAGACTTCTAGAATTTTTGAGTCTAAAAGGTCTTTTTGGGATATGAGATCTGATTCCTGGAAAACTTGGACTTTTACCTAGTAAAACAACCACCAATTCCCATTGAGATGTATAAAGAGAACACTTCCCCCCTCTCCTCCCTAAGAGAGGGATTTTAAGGGGAAAAAAATGAATGTCAAGGGTGCTAAATTTCTAAGGTCGTTTCAGGTGAAAAAAACACACCTTTGAGCTGGGATGTAAGGATGCAAGTTGCTCTGGATGTGGCCAGGGGCTTAGAATATCTCCACGATGGGGTAAGCATATTCTTCATTTAGAGCTTTGGCGGTGACCTTATTTAGCTCATACATTTAAACATAATTGAGCTGCTTAGGAGGTTTGATGGCTTTAATAATTAAAGATGGTTTATTTTCAGGCAGTACCTCCTGTGATACATCGTGACATTAAATCATCCAATATTCTGTTGGATGCATCCATGAGAGCCAGGGTAAGTCATTTGTCAAACATTTCATTTTCAAGCCACTTAGAAAAGGATTCAAAATGAAGTAGATGTATTTTTCTAAACCTTGGATAAAAGTAAAATAGATTCAGTTCTAGTTGCAACTTATTTTTACAGCTTCTGAAGTAAGCAGACCAGATATTGGCTTCTTCAATGCAACTTATATTCATAAACAAAGATTTGCTGGTTTAAGCAGGTATCGGATTTTGGCCTGTCAAGGGAGGAAATAGTCGACAAGAACGTCTCAAACATTCAGGGGACTTTTGGATATCTTGATCCTGAGTACATATCAACAAGAAACTTTACTAAGAAAAGTGATGTGTACAGCTATGGGGTATTGCTGTTTGAACTGATTGCAGGAAGAAATCCACTTCAAGGACTCATGGAATACGTTGAATTAGTAAGTGTTTCGATTTTGCTTTACCTGTATTAGGAAAAGAAATTCAATGACTATAGAATTAGAAGCTCACATGCATTTGTATTGTATGTTTATATACAACTGATTTCACCTGGTAGTATGAAGTTGTGTGTATGTATTCCAAGTTCATTTTCATGCGACATAGTTCTTTGACCTTTACGAATTATGATCCCTTTCTTATTTCTGTCAAATTTTGTTAAATCTCTTCAACTCAAGGATAGGATGATCGCTTGAGATATCCCTTTTCAGTAGGCATAATCCTTTACTTAGCTAAGTGACCTTTTGATTACAGGCAGCCATGAATACTGAAGGAAATGTTGGATGGGAAGAAATAGTAGATTCCCGACTTGATGGTAAATTTGATTTGCAAGAACTCAATGATGTGGCAGCACTTGCTTACAAGTGTGTCAATCGGGTACCTAAAAAGCGGCCTTCCATGAGGGACATTGTACAGGTGCTATCACGAATTATCAAGATGAGAAACCATTCGAAGCAGCATAGGAAGTCTTCATCAGCAAGAGTAGATGATATTACAATCAACATTGATCAGTTAGCCCATCGAAGTCCTCACTCTGTACATCAGCGTGTGGAATCTATGGACAGCACGGCTGACTCTTGCGACATCTAGCTCACACTTAGACATTTGTGGTAGTTTAGTTTGTTCTTGGCTCATTGTTTTTGTTTTGTTCTGTAAAGTATATGCTTAGGATACACATAGGGAATGCATCAGTCCTTACTTGATAACTGCTGCTAGAGAGAGTGAGAGTGTCTTGTCTTATGATCTCATCTCACTGTATAAATACCCTTCATCTTCTTCTCTTCTGCTTAACCTCTTGTACATCCTTGTCTAAAAGATTGAAAGTAAAATCAAACAAGACAAAGGTCAGCTTCCGGGGGAACTTCCTGCGAGTAACAGAGAAAATGCAGACTCTCACACAGTTAAATTGTTGAGTTAGAATGTGCCTTTTCCCCTTTGTTGGTTTTCCGATGCATGTTCGAACTCTAGGTTTTATCTTCTTTCTATAGACCCTTGATTAAATTCACTTAGTAATGATTGTCCATTGTGAGCATTGTTGAAATTTTTTATTTTGTTAAGGTAGATTCTATCTTCTTCACATTGATGAGGATGGGAAAAAATGGAGTTGTGAAAACTTTCTGTGGGCTGAGAGGCAAACAAAAATACAATAGTTAAGTTGTAAATATTACTACCTCTATCTGAAAAAAAAAAAAAAACTTTCAGTGAGTTTTGAAATTTGTACTAAAACCCGTACGAATATGAAAACTCAATTTGTACTATTTTTTTAAATGGAGGGAATAACACAAATATAGAGATTATTTTAGTGTGGTAAGTTAGAAATTAAAAAAAAATGGTATTGAAGAATTATTTAGACATATATTCATGCGAAACTAAAGTGGTGTTTACAAAAAAAAAAAAAAAGAAAAGAAAAAAAATGAAGATTTATTAGTTGGACAAGACATAGAACATAGAACAAAATTTTGTAAGTTAGCTTCTTTCTTATTTTGATAGGGGGAGGAGTAGAAGAATAAGCTGGATTTTAAAGAAAATCAACTCAAGCCTTGGGAAATTTTCTTGAAAGACTTATTACTTTTTGTTTTTCTTTTCTCTCTCTCAAAATTATAACCAAAAAAAAAGAAAAAGAAAAGAAAAAAAGAAGTAGTAACATTAATCACAAAAAGCCGGGTCGGGCGGGTCAGTTTCAAACTCTAGCATTCCAGTCAGTAGGAAATAGGATTGGGCAATCCACAAGGAGCTCTGGAATAGAACTTTATCTTGTTTTCCTTCCTCTTTTTCTTTGACAGCAGCAACGAAAGCGAACAAATGGCGGTGGCAGCTCTACAGAACTCCTTCACTTCCCTTTCTCTCTCCTCCAACAGTTTTCTGGGCCAACGCTTCTCCGTTCCTCTTTCCCCTCCCCAAGTAAGCCACCCCTTTTCATTCCCCGTCTTTCCGTGTTTGATAATCGTGTTTTGGGACATGAACATTATCAAGTTATCATTTTTATTTGTAGTGTTAATGTACTTTGTTCTTAGTTGCAAAAGAGGAAAGCTAAAGATAGCTCTTCTTAGTTTGTTGGGGAATGAATTTTGCATTTGAGATTATTTATTCTTTAAAAGCTTCAAAATTGGCTTGCTCCAGATAAAGTTGCTAACTTTTGTGTGGTGCTGAATAAATAATCTGCCTTATTTGGAGCTCGTCGTTGTTGTTGTTGAAATCAACTGTCTGGGTATTGCTGCCCTTTTTGTATTGAGGGTTTTAGCACCTTACACTAAGCTAATTGCCCTTATTCACATTTACATTAGGTGTGTACGCTCGGGCTTACTCATGTTTTGTGTTTTAAGCGAATCCTCTTCCTGTGATCTGTAACTGCCTTGACAATAACGAAATATTGTTGTAATATAATAATGTAATGATGCTGTTACAAGTAGATATATCCTGATTGGATTAGTTTGTTAAGAAAATTGTGTCTTACAGAAATGATCAAATGTCAGTGGACTTTCATGGACTTCAGTTTTTGGAATCAGAAATCAATGTCCATCTCTCTAAGCTTTTGGACTATTGGAACTTTGAACATCTGCCCTGCAGGAGTGATGGACAGAGATTGTTCGTAAAAACCTAAAGAACCCGGGCATAGAATTCTACCAGCTTGATGAACTAGTAATTTAAGGACTGTTTGGTGAATTTTTAAATAGCATGTCAGTCCTTGTGATTGGTAGCTGCTAGTGTCGTGACTCTGTGACGTTTACTGCTGTCAGTGTCTTAGTTAACTTGGTTAACCGAACCACTGATACACATCTGTTCATTATTTGGTTGTGTTGCCTGCTTTATCTTAAATGCTGTGTTATATAAACATATTTGTTCATTATTTGTTAACCGAACCAATGATACACATTTGTTCAGTATTTGGTTGTGTTGCCTGCTTTATCTTAAATGCTGTGCTATATGAACATATTTCACTTTGTAACTTCCTTCCGCTGATCTAATGCAGGTCGCAGTTACAGACAAACCTTGTTCCATTTCAGCAAAGGTTAGGAATCTTATTCTGAATACTTTCTAGCGTAGCCAGATGCATAAAACTTGAAGTTTGCCTGTGGAAAAATTTAATAATAATAGAAGCAGAAAATCTTCTGTGTAGTGGATGGATTTGCAGAATAAAATATGGCATGTTATGGAGGTGGTTCAACAACCGAGTGAGAAAATAGATGGTCTGCATTCTTAACCATTTTATTACCTGTACAGATTAAACGATGGGAACGGAAAGAATGCAAGCCCAACAGCCTTCCGGTGCTACATAAGATGCATGTTAAGATTGGTGACACCGTAAAAATCATTTCTGGACGAGACAAAGGTAAAATTGGCGAAGTTTATGAGATCTTCAAGCACAACAGCACCATTAAAGTGAAAGAAATTAACTTGAAGACCAAGCATGTTAAGAGTAGGGGAGAGGATGAACCAGGGAAAATTATCCAGGTATCTTCACCACTTCATCGAGTATTTATGTGTTTCTGAGAACCATTATGCTTTAGTAGAGATTCTCATCCTATTTGTATAATATCTAAGTTGCTCCGCATCATCTCGACGTTCTCTATTTTGATGAACTTTCCTCCTTCCTGGATAGAGCTCTGATATTCTTTTTAAGCGGGATGTTTTCAGATTGAAGCACCTATTCACAGCTCAAACGTGATGCTGTACTCCAAGGAGAAAAATGTGGCGAGCCGGGTTGGTCATAAAACATTAGATAATGGAAAACGGGTTCGATACCTCATAAAGACTGGGGAAATCATTGACAGTGCAGAGAACTGGAAGAGAGCGATTAAAGAGAAAAAGGAGGAGAAAGAAGTAGTTGCTGCTTCGTGACCAGATTTAAGCCCTCTTTTAGAATTAGCCTTCAGCCATTTGCGGAAGAATATCACCCTAATTTCGTGTAATCTTTAGCGAAATCCTGTTTTTGTCTCCATTTTGTTGTAGTTTGAAAGTAAAGTAAATGAAAACGGAAGAATATGATTGAAATGTGAAAAACGAGCTCTAATTTTCACATGTTCTAGCAATAAGTTCATTACTTGTCTATGTGCTACAATATTTCTGAACCCAAAATTTGTTCTTGTGAATGGGCCTTATTATGCCACAACAGGCTTCAAATTATGATATCTGAACTAAATTTGCAAAATGAACCCACCGACCTGGGGCTTAGCTCAACAAAACACAAAGGGTAACGGTGATTAACTCTCCTTTAAAATGGCTCAAACTTGAATGTCCTTGATTGACTTTCAGCTATCTTTTGATGCCATATCAATCACCAGATCATCGTCATTAGCCCATGAATTCGTGATTAGAGCAGGAAGTCAGCTTTGTTTGACTAAGTAATTTACAGTCCAGTTGAGTGCATTCATGGAAGATAAACCAGCAATGAAAAAGGAGCTACTTGGGCAAAAAGAAGAAGAAGATGGAAGAGGGCCGGTAACATACTGTGTTACCGGAGCAACAGGATACATAGGTTCGTGGCTAGTTAAATCTCTGCTGGAAAAAGGCTACAAGGTTCATGCCGCAGTTCGCGATCCTGGTCGGTAAAGTTCAAATCTTTGCTTAGATTTGCCTCATTTCTTTGACTATGTGGTTTATCTGAAGAGATTGTTTTGAAATTCGACAGAGAAAGCATTGATATTTTTGAAGAAATGGAATGGAGGAGAACGGTTGAGACTGTTCAAAGCCGACTTACACGAAGAAGGGAGCTTCGATGAGGCTGTGAGAGGTTGCCATGGCGTATTTCATGTTGCAGCAACAATGCAATTTGCTGTTCCTGTCGAAGAAAACGTTGGTAATTGACTAATTTCATCACCTTGATTTTGTTGATATGTAATGGATGTATAACTGTTTCGGAGTTCAGATTGCTTGTTTTTTGAATTTGAATTGCTATACAAATGGAACAAGATTGTGATTTTGCCTTGCCAATCTGGTCTTAAAAGAAAGCTATGTGCAAACAAATATAGTCGAACCAGCAATTAAGGGAACCTTGAATGTCCTCAATGCTTGCTTGAAGAGTCAAACTGTGAGAAGGGTTGTTTTTACATCTTCCATAAGTACCATTACTGCAACAGATGATTTGGGTAACTGGAGAAACATTGTTGATGAATCCTGCAAGATCCCCATTGATCGTGTCTGGAAGAATAGATCAAGTGGCTGGGTAACATTTGTTCCATTTCGGATTTTTGTTTCCTTTTGGTTCAGCAAAACTTGTGCAATTTGAAAGCTTAACATAATCCTTTTCCAGGTGTATATGTTAGCAAAACTTCACGCAGAAGAGACAGCTTTCCAATTCGCCAAAGAAAATGGAATTGACTTGGTGTCGGTGATAACTACAACTGTTGGAGGTCCGTTCCTCACTCCAACTGTTCCAACTAGCATCCAGGTTCTACTGTCACCAATCACAGGTTAGAACTGTTCAGATTAACTTTGACAGCATGAATCGTGAAATTTTATTGAGGTCTTTATATGAACACTCATCTGATTTAAAAAGATCAACACCCTTATATGGTTTACCTGCACCTCTGCAGGGGACCCTCAACTACTACCAGTTATTGCTTCTGTGAATGCTAGAATAGGATCACTTGCTTTAGTTCACATTGACGATGTTAGCAATGCCCACATTTTCCTGATGGAGCATACTGGAGCAGAAGCCTCATATATGTGCTGCGCAAGAAATTGTGGCATGGCTGAACTTATTGATTCCCTCATTGAAGAATATCCTTGCTCCAACTTGAAAAGGTTATTTTCCTTTTGTTTTTTTAGAGGAATCAAGTAGCTTCCTGTTGAAATCCATTGGAAATTCTTATGCATGACGTTTGTTTCTCAGGCTCGAAAAGGACAAAAGCAACTCTGTCCCAGCTGAAATCTCTTCAAAGAAGTTGAGAGACTTGGGGTTCAAGTTCAAGCATGATGTGCGGGATATAATCCATCAAACTGTCAAGCAATGTCTAGCCTGTGAGTTCCTGCGACCAGCTCAAAGCTAGCTGATGCTTCTTCAGATGGATGAAATCAAATCTCAGTATCTGCATTCATGTGGCATCTAGCTTTAAACATGTAATTTGTTCATTGCATTGGTACCTGATCTACTTTAAAACAATAGAACCTAATCATCTTTGTTACTCAGACAGTGGAAAACATCTTTATTGTCCTGCTACATGTCAATCATCAAGACAATAGAACCTGTAATTCTGGTGATTTAGAGAAAACTAGATGGATTGTCCTGTGCGGTCATTCCTTACACATTCATCCTTAGTTTGATAAGCATTTCCTTGTTGCCTGGAGAGCTCTAACATCATTTTGAGTGGGATGATTTCAGATTGAATAATCCCTCTGTCCCAACTGATACAACAACAGGACAAATATTTCGGGACAGAGAAAGTATTACTTATTCACGGCCTAATGCGACTCTAAGTTGAAGTATATTCTATTGAATACTGGTATCTCTATGTTCTCCAGAGTAATTTCTCTATTTCTTGGCATTCAAAACGCTATGTTGACCCTATTTTCTTCGTCTGAGATATTAGAAGTGGTGAAACGAAAAAATAAACACTGACTATATTCATTTATTTAGATAGTAGTATTTTTTTTCTTGGGGGAAAAACATATGCAAGATGCACTTCATTACTTCATTCAAGGGAAACCATGAAAATGTGCTGCTTACAATATAATGTGCGGGCACAGAATCCGGGGCCTAATGGCTCTAGCCTATAACTTGTAGGATTCTCAAGGACGGCCCAGAAATCATCAGTTCATTCTGACTTTTGGATGGTCGCTCCCCTGTCCCACCTGCCGGTCGCCACGAGCTCCACGAACACAGATTGGACTTTGCAATTGACATGATGAATAATTGATGAAGAACTGCTGAAATGGCTCAAATGTGTACACCTTACTGTTTGTGTAATCAGTGGATTTCATCTCATGGAAGATAAACCAGGAGGAAAGGAGGAGTTGGGCAGGGGCCAGGAAGGAGGAGTAGGAGGCCAGATAACCTACTGTGTTACAGGAGCAACAGGATATGTAGGATCATGGCTGGTGAAATCTCTCCTAGATAAAGGCTACCGTGTTCATGCCACTGTCCGGGATCCTGGTCCGTAAAGTTTCAATCTTTGTGCAACCCCATTTCTTCAATTATGCTGCATTGACTGAAGCGATTGATTTTGAGCTTCCACAGAGAAAGCTTGGCACTTTTTGAAGAAGTGGGAGGGAGGAGAGCGATTGAGACTATTTAGAGCCGATTTATTCGAAGAAGGGAGCTTCGATGATGCTGTGAGAGGTTGCCATGGCGTGTTTCATGTGGCAGCAACAATGCAGTTTTCTGTTCCTGTTGAAGAGAATGTTGGTAATTTCTGGTTTTCTTTACCTTAAACTTGTTCATGTGAGATGATGACTAACTCATGAATGTTCAGAAAATTCAGATAGCTTGTTTGTTCAATTTCAATTTGTTAAACAAGTGGACAATTTAGGACTTATTACTGCTTGGCCGTTTTTGATCTTATTATTAGAGAGTCATGTGCAAACAAGTATCATCAAACCTGCAATTAAGGGAACCTTGAATGTTCTCAAAGCTTGCTTGAAGAGTAATTCCGTGAGAAGGGTTGTTTTTACATCTTCCATAAGCACCATTACTTCGAAAAATGGATCGGGTAAATGGAGAGACATTGTTGATGAGTCCTGCAAGATTCCTATGGATCAAGTCTGGAAAAATAGACCGAGTGGCTGGGTACACCGCTCTTCGCCTATCTTTTTCCGCATTACACATTTTCTTTTAGCTTAATTACCCTGAAGTTGTTGAATTTGAAGGCACGATCCTTTGCCAGGTCTATTTATTGGCAAAGCTTTTAACAGAAGAAGCAGCATTTCAATTTACCAAGGAAAATGGAATTGATCTAGTATCTGTGATAAGTACAGCTGTTGCAGGTCCATTCCTCACTCCGACTGTTCCAACAAGCATTCAAGTTCTCCTGTCACCACTAACAGGTGAAATTCCTCAGTTTGAAATCTCAAGTTTTCAGATGAAGTTTTTATGTCTGAACAATACAACATATGATATGCTTTTATTCCACTATTCGCGCTACAAACCTAGAATGATGATTTAACCAAAATTAGACATCTTATGTGGTTAATTATTGGAGCAGGTGACGGTCAATTGTTACCAATCGTTGATGCTGTAAACGCTAGGATGGGATTGATTCCTTTAGCTCACATTGATGATGTAAGCAGGGCTCACATTTTCCTCATGGAGCATTCTGGAGCAGAAGGACCATATATATGCTGCTCAGGGAGTAGTGGGATTGCTGAACTTATTGATTGCTTGATCAAAGCATATCCTTTCTCCAACTTGAAGAGGTTACTATATTTTTTCTTACTGTAATATAGCTTCTCATTGACTAGAATTAGTGTTTCTCATGTGTATAGTTGATTTTCAGGCCTGAGACGGATGAGTGCAAGTCGATCCCAGTTGAAATATCTACGAAGAAGTTAAGAGGTTTGGGGTTCGAGTTTAAACATGATGTGCAGGATATAATCCATCGAACTGTTGAAGAATGTATGGCTTGTGAGTTTCTCAAACCATCTCAAAAGTTAGTTGAAAATGCAAATCCAAATGAATGAAAACAGAATTCAGGTCTCTGTTGATTCATCTGTTCATCGCTCAATATCAGTTCAGCCTGATCTTGAATTGGAACATCTTCACGCGTAACTTAGGCAGAAGTGGATTCAATGAAATTCTGAGTTGTTATTTTCTGGCATATTGCTGCTAATGCTATTTCTCTATCAATCTTAACATGTTTCTCAACCTACAATAGCAACCATGCCACTAAACACACTGAGAATATTAAGGATCCAACGTGTAATCTTCACATTGCTCCGGCAGTTCCCACATTTGATCTTGCTGATGCAACAGTGCCCCCGAAAAAGCTGAAAATTAAGGGAAATCACATTACGGTTCTATCATCCTTGTTCGCGATACTATCAGTGAGATAATGTCCATTTTCCTACTTCTTCATTTACATTATCAAGAGTGGTTTTCCCTTTTTATTGATGAGAGCACAATCCGGTCCAGTTCTTGCTTGCTAGAATCTAGATATCCATTGATTTTTTTTTTTTTAATGTAAACCGGGAAAGCATAGTAGCAGAGATGCAAATAACCCCAGTAAAAAAAGGCTCTGCTACATTTCTCTTTAAACAATTACTTGGTGTGCAAAAATGTGAATCAATCAGGATGGCAGCATTAAGAGCTTTGATAAATGCAGCCGTGTTTACATTGCTTCTAACCTGCTGCTGGAGGCAACTATTAGTCTATTTAGTGCTTAGAGTCGTGAGACAAATTAAATGTAGAGTGTGAGTATCCGTGACTATGACTCTCAGGCCAGAGCTATGCGTTAAATTAGCGTGTGAAGATGAATACCTCAATCAATTTAAAGAAACTTTATTAACTATGGTACTAAATGAACAGGGTTCCTGGTGTTTGATGGTTAGAATCCTCGTAGTAAGAGTGTTACGAACTCTTCTACATGATCTGTGAGTTGCTTGTGAATTATACAGTCATGACCAAAGTACCAAACCCTTGGATATTTTTACTGTCAGTTTATTCTGCAATAATGCCTATGCAAGAACAAACATTATGACTCTCAAGCAAAGAGAGAATCTTTTGACGATAGCCAACCACAATTCCCTTACCCCAGCTTTCATTTTTTTTTTTTTTTTTTCCAGAAACAAACAGCAAAAAACCACCTAGACAAAAGTTGATTTTCTTTAGGTCAGGAGGACTCAGAGACAGAGCAGTGGGAGCCATCTGCCTGCTTTTTTTCCAGTTTCTCCAGCTACTTTTCTGTATTCCCTGAAACCCAAATGTAATCTAATTCTCATTTTATGTGGGATATTCTTTTGGTTGCTCTTGAAATGAAGAGCTTCTATACATTAGTATAAACTATAACCATTCTTAGTGTTAGTGATAATAAAACCCTCTTAAAGATGTTTTGATTCCTGAACCATCTTGATTACCATGTTCATTAACTCCTAGATGCAAGTTGCAATGTGCAAATACAAGGACTTTTCATTCATTCATTGAATTGAAATTAAAAGTGAGCCCAGAAAGATGGCAGTTTCTCACAGAATGAAAGGTCTAAATCAGCAGTAAACGCCAACTAATTTGAATAGAATATTTTTTTGCATATTTTGTGATTATCTATCCCTCTGTACTGAAAAACAAGGACCATTCCCTTTCAAACATCATCCAAATGCTACTATTGTCTAATCTCAAATTTTTTTTCTTGGATTCAAAAGGCATTGGAGGTTGGAACTCATTTATGAGTTGGCATGTGCCAGAGAAACATTAAATTAAAAGCCCTTCACACAAATGCAGCAGCCCCGTGAAATGATTATCCTTACTAAGATATGTTCTCTTCAACCTCTTTAAAGGGCCAACTAAAGGTTTCTACTCAAATACCTAGAGAGAAGTACATAGGTGATAGGACCCTCCATTATCCTACATTAGAGGTACAGCTGAAAATGAAATCTGCCCAGATGAAAGGATGAATGCAGATTTTACAGTTACCATAAGAAAATTTGAATTCATGGTGTTTTTTACCACAGAACTGAACACATAATGAGACAAAGAAAGGGTTACAACTTATGAACAAGACACAGAGTGGAACAAAGTGGCTCTTGCCTTTTCTCCATGTCTTCATCTTCAACGTTCTATTCCAACTGTTATTTAAAACATGCAAGCCTTAATAGGCTAATCTGGATGAGAAATTCTGGAGATTACCCTTCAATTCATCTTCAGCGAAACAAGAATGCAGATGCAGCAGTCAAGTAGTGTTTCTAGTTTGGAACATCCAAATGGAAGAAATCAGAAACCAAAGGAAGAATGAGGGCACATAAATTACTTCATCAAAATTATAATGCATATCTAGCAAATGTGAAAGATACAAAAATCCTATTTTGGAAAAGAACTTCCAGCAGATTGCACTTTTTAAGCAAGACTATCTAATGCAATGTGATTCTGCAGTTTCTGTTCTTCAGGATTTACAAATTACAACAAAACAAGGAAGAAGAGCTTTGGGGTTAAGCAAATACAATTCCTCAATGTTGGAATACAAACCTACTTTCCCAGCCAACGAATCGAACCCTGTCTGACCAGCCATGTCTTGAATGTTCTCCAGAGGCCTATGCACTCTTCCTGCAATCACTCTGCAGACTATCAATGCTTTCCTTACATTTGGATCGACTTCATAGATTTCTATTGATTCAAATGCTCTTCCACTTGTGGAAGTTGTGAAAACACCTATTCCACTTTTAAGTTCCTTCTTAGTAGAGAAGCCATTTCTGATGACTCGACAGACACAGCACTTGTCCGATATGCAAAGGCTGGAGCATCCATTCATGCCGAGAGAGCATGCCACGGTTGTACCATAAAACCTTAAAAGTTCATTACCATCGGCAATACAGCGGGGATGTTTCTTGGGAAGTTTACTTGCCCTTATCTTCACCATTTCCCTGTATTCTTCAAACCGAGCTAAAGTTTTCTGCATGTTGTGAACTTTTAAAACTTTCTCAATTCGACCACACTGGCTTTCGGATTTGACCCAGCTTGATCGGCAAATGATTTCAACAATCTTTCGGGATGAATCTCCTTCCACGAGTTCAGTTACTGCACATTCATCAAAATTTCAATAAACTGATGAACGAAGCAAAATGAATAAAAATCTGTTTCACTTGCTAACAAGCAACTCTAATGTACAAGATTTGAGTAAGAAGTAATAGCTAGAAACTTAAACAGACAACAAAAGCCAGACCTCCAAATGAATTTGCAGACAAGGAATTCACTCTTTAGTACTTTCACAACCAACAAACAGGCAAACTATAAAGATCAACAGACTAGAAAACTCTAAAGACACTTTATGATTTAATCAAAGCAGTAACTTTAAGCAGGATTTAATCACATGTGACTTGCAGGCCTTTTTAAAAATGGGTGATGATTGCACACATTGCAATAATTAAAGTTGAGGTTGGAGAAAAAGGCAGTACTCGGCAGAAAGGGAAGATTTTTATACTCCAAATAAAGTAACATTCAAAAGTAAGCAGGGTGAAGATTCTGACCAGCATGTTTGGAAAGATGATGTGCTTCAAGGGAGTCAAACTTGCCAAACTGCTCTCCACATTTAGGGCATGTAACAGAAGAAGTTCCATTGGAATCTATCTCAAGGGAAGCCCTTGGTTTGGGGGGTAAACCATGTCTTTCTCCACCAAGTCCAGAGCTTTCCCTGTCTGTCAAAAAAGCAGTAGTTTTTCTGGGAGGTGTTGCAGGATACCTGTATGAAGGGTTAAAATAATGCATTGTAGGATGCCCTCCAGGCCCAGGTGTGCCTGGCCTTAAAGTACCAACATATGTTGAGCCACCATTTTCACCACCACCGATGCCGGCGCCACCGCCACCGCCGGCATTACCACCGATTCCATCATGGAACCCTCCATAGCTGTTGATTTTGAGCTCACATGTGGAGTTACTGAGAATCACTTCATGGGTTATTGGGTTGAGAAACTCACTACTCCCAATGGATCTTGGACTGCAACTTGGGGGTTTCTCCATGTGTCTCTTACTTCCATGAATAACATCCTTGAGATTTGCTATAGACCTTGAACACCCAGACCTTCCTGTTTTCTTTGTCAAGATTGAGCTCAACTGCTTCCTTGCCTTTGGATCATGCACTTCTGATGGCTCTGATCTGCAATGCAATGATTTCTTCAAAGAAAACCATACTGTCGGTATACCTTTTCCCTCCTTCATAATTCTGTTTTCAACTTCAAAGCTTCATCTCAGTCCAAAAAATCTTCAAAAGAAACAACTTTTTCTGTATTGTCAATAGTACTCTAATCTAGAAACCTATTTCCTTTTGCAAAAAGACAATCTTTCTGCTTCCATTCATGAAGCTAAAAAGGGGTCACTCATTAAGCCAAAATTTCAATAAAGCAGCACTCTAATCTATGCTGACATTAACCCTTTTTTGCAACTCTCCTTGACACTTCCATAAGCAAACAAACAAATTGAAAGTGAAACGAACCCACCAACTGCATCTACAGGATAGAACAGAACTACTAAAACAGAGCAGTCAAAACCCACGTAATCAAGAAAGTTCTGTATCTAACAAACACAAAAGAATGCATGCAATTCAGTTCTATTTCATTAAAGAACTCCAGGAATTGTCTATTTTTTTCCTTGAATGGGACTACTGAAAGATGAGAGAAGGAAAAGATTAATCAGACTCAAACCATGAAAAGGAAAGTAAATTCCTTTTTTTCCCACAAAAATGACAAAGATGTGAAAATCCAATAAAAAGGAGGATCTGGGGGGGTCTTTGAGGAACGTGACAAGCTCACTAAAAACTGGTTTTCGGTGCAATAAATATATTAGCGGTAACTCAGCTGAAGCAAAGACAGTAAAGAATTCAAATACATGGCTTCTTAAATTGAAATTGACTGACACTCTCCCCATTTGAATTGAATGAACCCACAAGTCCGGACATTCATTAAATTTTCTTCCCAAAAGAAAAGAAAAAAATTGAAATCAACCCAATTTCTTTATACTGCATAGTTCTGAGACAGTTGTAAATGGTGATGTGCCTATTCTCTCACAGACATTACACATTCACAAGAGTTGACAAGACACCAAAAACAGGGTTTGGAGCCTTTTTGAGAGGACCATAATATGTAGTACACTAGTAGATTTCCTCATTCAAGTAGCTGAAAAAAGTTACAAGGTAAAAAATATGAATGTAATCCCCAAATCCCTCCAAAAGATTCAATTTTGATACCCAATTTACGGACATTAAATTTTGCATGTATGGGTTGCATATGTACACATAATATATCAGGACCATTCATCAGTTGATTAAAGAAATCATAATTCATATACAACTGGCAAAGATTAAAACTAAAGATTAAATCTTGCACCGATATCTTACCAAAATAGAAAAGTTTGGTTTATTAAAGAAGAAAAAACGAATCTAAGTACAGAGAAACAGGAAAAGATTGTTACAGGTTACTCCATGAGAGAAAGAGAGAGAGACTGTAAAAGAATTTTTAGAGACTGTGGTCCATTCCAGGGAATTTGTCTCTTGCTGCTAGTGAAGAATATATAAATTCATTCTTAATTTAATAAGGCCATTCGGGGATGAAGTTCCAAGTTCTTGCATCTCTTTTTGTTTCGTTCTGTATTGTCGTCGAATTGAATTTTCCTGGACAAGTTGTTCCAATGAGATGGCCTTATATTATCCAAACGGAATATGCAGCGGAGCTTCAAAGCTTGTACAATGTAGGATAATCAATATAAGATGAAATACATAACTTTGGGACAAATTTGATTTAGTACTACCAAACTTTAATTTGCAGTCCAATCAAATCCAATCAGGTATTGATCTGAAATGATATGGGAGCTCTTTACTCTGATTTATCTATTAACACTTATTCAAAGCAGTTGCCACAAAAGCTACATTCCAACTCCACAAAAATATTTTTCTGCCTAAACTCAAGAAATAATACGACGTATTCTTGGCTTAATGAGAAAAAAGAATCTCATAATTTTATAGAGTATTTTGATTTGAAAGATCAATTATTTCTTCTCAAATTAAATTTTATTATAACCAGTTTCAAAGTAAAAATATTATCAACAATTTATTTTTTTCATCCATAAATCCATTTTAGAAAGCTCATAATGATATTTTTTTCATAGTTACATATTCTGTTGTAAAACACCCTTCTTTTAAACAATGCCCGAGCCACTAACTAGTAACATTTTATTACTTTCTCAGTAGGAAAAATTAGTGTATAATTTTATTTTCCAGTTTTATTATAATATGTTTTAATATAATTTATATTAAAATTAAAATTCTAAGCTAGACACCCAGGAAAAATTATTGTCTAGTTTCATTTTTCAGTTTTTATTATATTATGTTATAATATAATTTATATTAAAATAAAAATATAAACTGGTTAATTATTTTGGTGTTGGAAAAAGAATCTCGTATCGGTATCGTGAAGGATCTGTCACCTGTTTATAAGTGTCAAAGTCCTCCCCACTCATTGCCAGTTAGTTTTAAGATGGGAGTTCAAAGTACTTATATACTTTGACATGGTACCAGAACGGTCCGGGCCTGTGGCAATGTTTTGGAACGGAGGTGGCCTGTGGTGATTTTATATTCTCACACTTAAGCGTTGACTCGTGGGCTTGTTGTGGACCAACCAGCGGTATAACTGATTTTTCTCCCACTTGAGCGTAGACTCGTGGGCTTGTTGTGGACAGATCCAGCGGTATAACGGGCTTTCTCCCGCTTGAGCGTTGACTCGTGCGTTATTTTGTTCTTGTCCTGATCCAAGTCCATTGGGCAAAAAGGTCAAAGACCTATTGGACTTGAGGGAAGATGTTAAAGTGTAATATCTGTTCCACATCGCCACCGTGGAGAGAAGTGACTCAGTTTATAAGTGGCAAAGGTCACCACACTCATTTGTAATTGATTTTGAGATGAGAGTCGAAGGTACTTATATACTTTGACATGGTATCAGATCCCACGATCTGTGGACATGTGATAACTATAGACTCGCGTGTGTGGGCTTGGACCTGTGTACCTTGGACTTGCATCAATCGTTTCTATGCGCACAGGTGGGCTTGTGCACTGATCCGACAGTATATCCGGAGTATGTATCCGTGTGTACGGGCTTGTTGACTGACCCGACAGTATATTCAGAGTTGTGGGCTGATCCAACAGTATATATGGTGGATTATGTTGTGTTGTGCGATCCCAATTGGCCAAATATACCATTAGGCTTAAGAGAGGGTGTTGAGAAAAGAATCACACATCGGTATTGTGAAAGATCTGTCACATGTTTATAAGTGTCAAAAGTCACCCCACTCATTACCAATTGGTTTTGAGATGGGAGCCTAAAGTACTTATATACTTTGACAGAAGGGTGAAATACTGTAGTAAGGGGAAAAAAAATGGTACATTATATTATTATGCACATTGTAAATGATATACTAATATTTTTTATCACGATAGTCACAAAACTCTCCAGAGTATAAATAAAGCAATGCATGCAGAAGACTCCTCTAACAAATGTAATGATAAAAGTTTTTCTCTTTAGAAAAGGGAGAAAATCGAAGTCTAATCATAGTCCAAACTTTTTATTTAAAAGAAAAGGCCATAAATTTAGTGATGATTTTCAAGTGTTTAGTTAGAGAACCGAAATGGATAACTCATGAAACACACAACTCAAACTGGGGAGAGTCGAGTTGACTACCCGGTCAAGGCACATAGTAACTCCAATAATGACGAGAATTTGATCCGAAACATAGTATCTTTTTTCCCTGTGAATCTTTAGTTAGTACTTTACTCATTTCCACAAAAAAAAAAAAGAAGGAAATACTTCACTTATATAATAGTTTAGATGCTAGCCATTTAGACAAAAATAGTTTAGATACTTGTAATTTGTATAAAATTTTTAAGGGGAAAAAAAAAGGCATACAAAAACTCGCATAGACCTCAGCCATAGAGCATTTAGATACCTGTAATATGTATAAAAAAAAAATTCATGCAAAAGCTAACATTAGAGGGGATGCTCGTAATCACTCGGTATTTTTTCTTTGTGATAGGATGTGTATTTTAGGTAACCCTAAATAGGGTTTTGGTAGACGGTTAGGGTTTATGTAAATTATGACTATATATATTGTACAACATATACATGAACTACATAACAGAAAATCAATATTTTCATGATATCATCCTTCTTTCCTGACCTCTCATTTTTTTTTAGGGTTTCCGCCTTCTTTCTTTTCTTTCTCTCTCGCTTGCCGGCTTCCATTGATCTTCTCCGCCGCAGCTCCAAATCCCCTCGCGAACACAAAATCACACAATCCCAAATTCGACCCCGGCCAGCGGCTCCAATTCCTGATTTTCGGCCTCAATTTCCCATTTCCATCAATTTTTCCCGGTTGCTGTTGCTGCTGCTGCTTTCATTGCTGCTGCTGCTTCCCTACTGCCATCATTGTTTCCGCGGATGCTGTTTCCCTCTTCGTTTTTTGTTTTTTCCGGCCGCCACCCTGTTCTTTCTTCCTCTTTCTCTTGTCTTCGTTTCGGTTCTACTACTCTTTTTTCCAGCGGGTGATCATCAACCTTTGCCGTTGTTTCTTCATTGGTTGCCTCTGCCGCTTCGCCGCTGCAAATTGCTCATCTTTGCGTCCATCTTCAAATTCCGTTCTGCTCAATTAAACATCATAGTCCGGTTAGTAGTTCACCCTGTTCGTCGTTCCTCTTCGGCTGGTTTCGAAAAAAAAAAAAAAAAACCTTCTCCATGGCCCGCTCTACTGATTCCTCGGTCATCAATGAACCTGTGACCGAGCCTGTGACTGCAACTCCGGTGTCCAACTCCTCTTCTTCCAACTCTGTCGCTCCACCCGTGTCTCATCCGGCTGCCGGCCTCACAAATATCAAGAACTATGTCAATCATGTTCTTGACTTCACCAATTACATGCTCTGGAAGGAGCTCTTCCTTCCTGTTTTTCGCGGTCACAGAGTTATGGGCCATATCGACGGCACCTCTGTTTGTCCACCGCCGACTCTTCCTGCCACGGACGGATCTTCTTCCTCCACTCCTAATCCTGCTTTTCAGTCTTGGACTCAGCTTGATTCCATCGTCCTCTCTTGGATTCAGGCCACAATTTCCAGCGAAATCTTGCAAGCAATCATCAAACCCAACTCCAATCTCACTGCTCGCGATGCCTGGCTAACAATTGAG